TGGATTGTGTTTTATAATTGAGGATGTCAATGTCTGTGTACTAATTATTTTATTTTATTGAGTAAATAAAAAATTAATAAAGCCGGCACTAAAAGCAAGAACACACAAGATGACATTTTTCATTAATAAATGGAAATCTGTGTAGCACGGACACACAAACGACGATACGGGAAAATAGGAGAACTGATACGTGGAATCGGCATGTTCCGAAAATTGGGTTACGAGACTTTGGGAAAACGTGTAAATATTAAAAGTATAGGAATATATTTATAAATATTCTATATAAACCTATATATAAGTTTTTTATTTATTTTTATACAAACATATTCAAAATATATTTTACTATCAGCTATCAATTTTCAATTGATGATTAAGTCATATAAATAAGTTGGAAGACAACAAAAATATTTGAAATTTTACTATTCAAACTTTTTAGAAATTGCGAAATAGCCCACAAAAACATTTCCAAAACGTGGAAACATTAAGAAGGTGAAGTTTTCTTGCAACGTAGAATCGGAAATACAATGATATTAACATTTGAACTACACAAATTTCCACACAAGCCTTCACACAATATATATATATATATATATATATATATATATATATGGATAATTAGCGAGAAGGAAAATGAGTTAAGAAAACACAAGAAAACACCTCCTCCAAAAAATAATTAGAGAAAACCCTCTTAGGTAATATTCCACCCATGTGATATTTTCATAATTCTAAAATTACCCTTAATTGTTTATTATACTCTTTCAAAACCCTAATCTTATTTTTATTTTTTCATCCGCCGTTTTCACGCTCCAACGTTTCTCTTCTTCTCTCTTTTCTCTTCTTCTTTGTCTTTTTTCATCTGTTTTCTCCGTGACTTCTCCGCCAATGTCGCCGCCGTCGCCACCGGGAGATGGAGAAAGAAAGAAGATGAAGCACCCATCAAACATTATAAATCATTTTGATAGCGATTCTGAATTCGAATGCCATGAATGCTACATCGGAGGCGAATAGAGATAAGATTGTCGATTTGTCGCCGGAATCTGATTTTGATGGTTGGTGGTTCTGCTTTGGTTGGTGGTGTGAGTTGTGATTATTTATTTGTAATAAAAAACCGTCATAATGTCAAAGTAAGGTGGTGATTAGGGGTGGAAATCGGACGGATCGGATTGGATTTGGGTGTTTCGGAAAATTTCCGATTTTTTTCGGAAGTTCAAAACGCCTTCCAATTCCGATTCCGATTTTTTCGGAATTCAAAAATTGATTCCGATTCCGATTTTTTCGGAATTTTCGGAAAATCGGATTTTTTCGGAAATCTTCATTTTCGGAATTTTCGGAAATTTTTCCAAAAAAAAAAGGAAAAAAAAAATAAAAAATTTTGAGTTTTGACTTTTGTATGTTTTAGAAAATTAAAAAATAATAATATGTTCAAATATATATATATATATATATATATATATATATATATATATATATATATATAATAATTGGAAAAAATATTAGTAATATACTAATATATATTACTAGTAATTAGTACAGACTGCGGATAGATATAGACATATAGTATATATTATATATAGTAATAAATATTAATAATAATAATTAGAAAAATCGGAATAAATCGGAAATAATCGGAAATAATTGGAAATAATCGGAATAATTTCGGATCGGAAATCGAAAATTCCGAAATTCTGTTATGTATTTCCGATTCCGATCCGATTTTTTTCGGAATTTTCGGAATTTGGAATTGAAAAAGTCGTTCCAAAATCGGAATATTTCGGATCGGATTCGGCGGAAATCGGAATTTTCGTTCCAATTTCCACCCCTAGTGGTGATGGTGTATTGTGGCGGCGGTGTGGTGACGATGGGGAGGCAGATTTAGGGTTTTTTGGGGGATCGAGCGGAGGACGGCGCCGGTAGAAAATTTCGCGCATGCTGAAATCTCAATCGACTATGCTCTGGCAGTCGATTAAAGTTGATCGACTCCAATTTTTTTATTTTTTTTGAACTTTTTGTTTACTGATTCCAATTGTATAAATTATTTATAATATTTGTATATTTTTTTGTTTTTGTAATATATAGTTGGTTTTTTATTTTTTTCACAATTGTGATTTGTTATTTTTAGTAGCAGATTCTTAATCGATTATGCTTCACATCATAGTCGATTAATATACCTGATATAGGAAAAAAAATTTAAAAAACAAAAAAAAAAAAATTTCCTTAATCGACTATGAAACATAGTCGATTAAGGCTTATCGACTATGCTTCCTAGTTGATTAAGAGCAACTCCAATGGGAAGATATCAAAATGGAGCATTAAACATTCATTTGATACTCAATATAATATGTTGATGCTTCTAGAAAAAAAATTCACTCCAACCACAAGTATCAAATAGATTATCAAATTTTAAATATATGAATAATTATATTTGAAGTGCCACATGTCAAATAGTGATAGGTTAATATAGTGGTTATATTTTTGATACCTCATTTCTAGGGAGTATTTTTGCACCTCGGGGTGGTTGAGTATCAAAATAATTCTCACTTTAATGCCTCTATTGGAGGAGGATTTTTTAATTTTAGAGTATCAAAGTTGTAGTTTTTTGGTTTGATACTCCATTTAGTTCCTCCATTGGAGTTGCTCTAAGGAAACTGATACAGAAAAGACGGGAAAAAAAACGGAAAAAAAAAATTACTGAGCGCATGATCCAGTGATGTGTGGCGGGCGGGGGCAAAGCTGGAAAACATAATGGCTGAAAATGGGTGTGAACTTTTCTCAAATGGACTAAAATATTTTGAGCCTCCCTCTATTAAAAAAAATAGTGAGGAAGTTTTCTCAAAAAACCCCTATTTTGAAATCCATGAACCAATTTGAAATCCATGAACCAATCAGAGCCTAATTGTTTTTCAAAATAAATCAAAAGTCTTCATTTATTCATTTTTACTATAAAAATTAAAGAATTCAGCCAACGGATCCGATCCATATCAAGACAGCCCATTTACTTGACAGGTGGACAGCCCATTTTTTCGACTTGCCCAAATCTACAAAGTTAACACTGCAAAACATTTATAAATTTCTTCTAATTTTAATTTAATTTATTTAGTTATAAAATTTTTATATAATCTGTGACAATTCAAATCGTTAGAAAGAAAACGCAAGGGGAAAAAAGATGTCGTCAATCGCCGATGAGGAATTGCGTCGCCGGAAACTGGAAGAAGCCCTCGAAATCAAATCCCTCCGCCGTATCATCAGCGCTTATCTCAAGTATACATATATATTTTAGTTTTTTTTTTTATCACGCACTCACACAATCTGCTGCGTGTATATTTGTTTGTAGTACATGTCTCTCTCTCTCTCTCTCTCTCTCTCTCTTGTGATTAATTCTGTGAAATTTGATTTATGATTTCAACTATTGCTAAAATCCGATGTTGTTTTTGCTCTATTATAGTTTGTATTTGCTGCAAAGATATGCATCATGGAGTTTTATAATTAAGAAAATTGTGCTAATATTGTTGTGAGTGAATATTGACATTTTTTTTTAATACTGATTTTGGGGCAATTGAACAGTTGGGAATTTAAATGTTAAGTAGAGTGTTGGGTAAAATAAAAATTGTCTAGCTATTTATTCATGAAATTGCTGAGAGGGAATTGTAATGTACTGTTAAATCTTGGATGCGAAGCACGTCCTTGAATTCTAAGGCGGGGATTTTGTGAAGATGTAGTAGCGTGTATTCGTTTAGTTAATTGAGTTCAGCTTGCTAGAGTCTCTAATAATCAAACGTAAAAAGATGGTTGTATAACTGACTGAGTTACATGAATATAAAATAGTGAAGAAATCCGGTGAAGATGTAGTCAGCAATTAGAAGCTGATGAACATCAAGATTGACAAATTAGAACGGTCTCAGGTAATGAGTTTGTCAATTGGATGAGAAAATCTAATAGAAGCATATTCTCGTAGTAGTTGCCAAGTGAAAAAAGGTCATCCATTGTCTAAATTGAATTAATCAAAGAGTAGAAAGACTCATTCCATCAAGTTCAATATGTTAGAATGTCAATTAATGGCTCGAGTTATGAATTGAAAGTAGTGGTTCCAATAATAAAAGAAATAGCATAGAATTATAGACTATAAAACTGGAGCGCTCACCGTGGAGAAACATAATTTCTTCTTGAATGTTTATTTCTGTTCGGGCTTCTGAATAAAATGTTAGAATTACTGGATTGGATTACGAATTTCAGAATTTGCCACCACAACAAGAACTATTCATGGGAAACGGGTTTGAACCTAACCTCATCTATAATATGCGATGTCTGGCACCATAACAACACAAATGTTGGTATCATAATAGAGATTAGCCATTACATGCGCCTGATTTGACCAACATTTTGCTGTGATGTTTCATAGTATAACTATACTTTTATGTTATTTCATTTCTAATTCATTTCCTGTCCTTATCCTTATTTGTTCGAGTCCATACTTCAGCATTACTGGATGAAGAATAATCCCTAGTAATATGGTCTGAGTTTTTGTTGGATTGTCAATGCAGCTACCCAGAAGCTGCTGAGGAGGATATTGTAAGAAATGAAAGATGCTTTAGAAGGCTTCCACACGCCCACAAGGTCGCTTTCAAGTTATTGTTGTCATAACCTAAAACATGAGTCCTGTAAATATTGTACAGTTTTCTTTATTATCAAGGGGTCCTCATGAAATATTATGATGTGCACATCTAACGAAATGAATATCATGAAGAATCACATTTAGAATATGTTTCTCATATAGGGTTAATGCAATCTTGTAGAAATCACTAATTGAAAGTAGTTCTTTAACTTAGAAGCTCAGTAAAAAAATCTTCATGATTTGCATGTCGATGGCAATGAATACTGTGAAGAATCTCATTGAGATAGTTTTACTAGAGATAAACTATCAGATGTATTTATTACGTTCTTTTCTATCTCTGTTGCATTTGTGTTTGTTTACTGTGTCCAGTTATTAGTTTCGTCATTTTCTCAGTCTAAGTGGTGATTAATGTGTATTGGAATCATGTTATTTTGAAATTGTTACTACTTGAAAAATTCTTATTGCTAATTGTAGCGTTGGTTCCTCTGATTGGTTTTGGACTTTTGCAGGCGTTGTTGTCGCATCTGCCCCTGAAATTTCAGAAATATAGATGGTAAATCTAATTTAGCATTATATATTCTGTATAGTAGTATGATTTCTAAGATTAAGCTCTACGTAAGAATGATTAGTATTAGGATATTACGTTTCTGTCCTTGTACTTCATCAAAGTCAACTCAATTTGGAAAATAACCCTCTTTCACCCAAGAGGGCAGTTGGAGCTCTGGGAGGGTTGGGACACAAATTCCACAAGGAAAATAATGGTGTTCTGGTTGAAGAAATTAACTGCAAAAACAAAATATGCGCCATACGGATATGCAGTATGGAGATTTATGACAAAGAAATATGCCAAAATAGATTTTGAATGAAACTGGGCCCAAGGTTTTGCCTCTATAATATCCGAACTAATTCTCGCTATTTGTTCATTTCTCGCAGGTGTGTCTCGCAAAATTCCTATTTCATATTTGAAATGCTTAAGGTGATTTTTCGCTTTACATATGTTTCTCTAGTTATTTAGTATTGTTTATTTGAGAGCATAAACTTATATGCACCTAGTATTCTGTTCTAAGAGCTATATCTGCTGTTGATTTTGCAAGACATTCGAACCTCCTCTTGATATGAGTGCGGGCATTTATATGTCTGAAAATCAAACCACGGCGGAGAGTGCCTCTGATAACCGTCATTTGTCTGGTGAACTGGACCTTCTTCCCTGTCAATCTGGCTCAAAAAGTGGCGACCTGAATTTTGCAAATGCTGGTGAACTTAGCTCTAGGGAAGGAGCCATTCTCAAACCAGAAACCGTCAGTGAGGTCTCACTAGCATTTTCATCTTAATTTGAAAAACTTGTTCACATTGCCCATTTGGTTCGATCTGTTTATTTCATTTTCATTATGAAAATTTGACCTCTGTAGATAACAACAGGAGAAGAAAAATCGAATCTTTGAACAAAACAATGCGGGGAACTGCTGTGTAGACTCCGAGTGTAACGGAAAGGTAGAGAATGCTGATGCTGATTGTTGTCAGAGTGAAAAAAATTCTCCACCTTCATCTTCTATGCATGACTGTGATAGACATGTAAGGTCTTCGTGTTCCAATGTTTTCTTTTCATTGTAGAAACATTAACGGCTACCATGTTGTTGCAACATAATTTTCTTTAAATTACTGTATGAGAAGCAGGTCTAGGGTTTGCAGTTGGCTCGAGTCTTTTTTGCTATCTATAAAATTTTGGAATAAAACATAAAGCTTGCACTTTGAAAGGCCCAATTAATTAGACTCCTAGGGGAAGAATGCTAGCCTCTCTTCTCTCTCCCTTCTCTCCAACTTTCACTTGTCTTTATCTTCTCTCATTAACGTCTTCATCTCCTTTTTTCCAGTATTTATTTGCAAGCATCCATTCATAGTATAATTTAGTAAAAAAATTGTATGTAATAATACATAAGCTAAACAAATTATAGAATAAAAATAATAAACAATCATTTTTTATTGTTTGATTTAATCACGACACGCATTTGGTTTTACTGCATCACTACTTACTATATTATATGTTTAAGCACTTCCTATCTTCGTCTTTCAGGTATCCTCATCATCGCCTGATTGGTTGGACCCATCATTGCAGTTTCATGTTCCTTTAGTTGATGTAGATAAGGTATGCTATCTTTTTACACATTTCAGTGAAAGAAAAAAATTAGATCTATTATGCTAAATAGAGTATGAACATTACACATACTCTGGAATACAATCTTGTTAGAGCTATGGTCATGTCCATCTAATTTGCTGAGTTCGGCCAAGTGGTGGTTTTGCTGTATCAAATGGCAAAGGAAAGGTCAAATTTTGCAGAATGAGAAGGATGATATGCTGATATTTGTAGCAAGAGGTTTGTTTTGTTGTGGCCAGGCTACCAACTGGGGAATTTTGAAATAGTGATTGGGAGAATTTGGAATAGTTGGCAGATAATCCTCTTAATAGAGTTAAGATCGTGACCAAATAATTCATTTAATATAAAGAAGTGGTTATTTTGCTGTATCAGAGTGGTAATAAAATTTGTTTGAATATAATTCATCATTATGAGAAGAATGAGATGGTGGTGCTCAAATGTTTTATTTGGTCAGGACTTGGCCTGAGTTGGTTTGGGGTGGATTCCATTATAGAATAATATATGGTTTTTGACTTTATCGGTGAAAGAGCATTCAGATACTGCTCCAATAGTAGTTTCAAAGTCGTCAAATGTGAGAGTTCCGTCTTTAGGTAACGGTTGATCTTTTTGTACTGTTTGGGTAATTGTACCATTTAAGTAAGTATCGTGAGATGTTAGAACTCTGCACCTTACAATTGGTATGGTTCTGTAGGAAGGTATCAGGATCGTATTGTTTGCAATATCTTTTGTTAATTTCTCACATATTCTTGAGATTATTGAGGTTCAATTTACTGCTCGCATATTCTTGAGATTATTGAGGTTCAATTTACTGCTCGCAAGGATTTGTTAATCCATTACATTAATCATATCTTTCCCAGGTTCGATGCATCATAAGGAACATTGTTAGAGACTGGGCAGCAGAGGTATTTACTACATCTTCTTGTCATCTACCAAAAAGAAAACTTGATTTTGACTCAGAGCTTCGTATTATCTTAACCCCCCGGAGGGTGATAATATCACCACTCAAAATTAAAAGCAATGAAGAGTAAAAAGTAATATGTGGATAAATAGATTTAAAAAATGGAAGTATTTTATTTTTTTAACTTCTTTCCCTTTCTTATGTTCAGGGTCAGCAGGAACGTGATGAGTGCTATAAGCCAATTCTTCAAGAACTTGAACAACTTTTTCCACATCGTTCTAGAGACAGGTAGTGTGTTTGTGATATTATTATATCAACATCACTTGATAGTCGGATTTGCTTGCACATAATTTTGGCGATACTTTTTTCAATTGAACAATACGATAGATAGTTAGTGAAGGAATATTTGATGTAGTAGTTGTTTCTCTCATGATAAATGCTGTTATCTTATTTCTTGTCCAACAGTCCTCCTGCATGTTTAGTTCCTGGAGCTGGACTTGGGAGGTTAGCATTAGAAATCTCATGCCTGGGTATGTTCCTTGTCGAATAACTCTAATATTAAAAAAAAAATTATTTGCCAGCATCCTGATATTTTTATTACATCTCAGGTTTTATAAGCCAAGGAAATGAATTTTCGTACTACATGATGATATGCTCCAGTTTTATACTAAACCAGTAAGATACTCCGATATTAGAATTTGTGTTCTTTATAAATATTTGATTTGGTTTGATACTAATATGTTAGTTCATTAGCTCTCAAGTTGCGGATGAGTGGACCATATATCCATGGATACACAGTAATTGTAATTCACTTTCAGACAGTGATCAGCTTCGCCCTGTTTCAGTTCCGGATATTCATCCAGCTAGGTACTGGCTAACTATTTTATTTGCTTTGTATGTGGATATTCTTCCGATTTCTTTGATTTGTTCTCTTTGTAACTATTTATTTCCTTGGAGGTTCGTTAAGTTAACTTTTTTTTTTTTTAATCCATTTTCTGTTTTCAAAAAGATAGTATTGATACTTTAATTTCTCTATATATCAAGCAAAAGATTGAACAATACATCGAAGCACCTTGAATGAGTTTTTTTTTAATATTTATTTTGACCAGGATGTTTGCTTTGTCCTAAATGAAATGAAACTTCTGCGTGTATGTGTGTGCGCACACATATAACTTGTTTGTGCTTTGCTCTGGATGTTCTACTTATCTGCTTCTGCAAATATGCTAAATTTGGCTAGAAAAATTCTCGAGTGCTACTATATGGTGGTTCTTGAGTATTTATGAAACTGCCATTTTTATGTATGTCATAATTGGTTGAGAAAAATAGCAACGTGGTTGCTACTCATAAGTTTTCATGAGTCACCTCCTATAATTATTATGAGACTAGGCTGTGATGAAATCCATTTGAACAGTGCAGGGATTACTGAAGGCTTCTCAATGTGTGGAGGTGATTTTGTTGAAGTCTATAATGATCCAAGTCAAGTAGGTAAGCAAGTGATTTTGTTCTCTTCTTTATATATAGATGTAGGAAATTGATACATGATAATGCGGTGGTTTCTTTATAACTAATCATTGTTGTGAAACTATTTTTGTATGCAATGAGAATAGTTGGATGACCTCCCTGTTTGATATTTTGTACATTTCTGCTCATCTTGTACTTGTAATTTATTCGCAGGAGTTTGGGATGCAGTTGTGACTTGTTTCTTTCTTGATACCGCACACAATATTGTCGAATATATTGAGATTATCTCAAGAATTCTCAAAGAAGGGGGTGTAAGTGATTTTTACACTGTCACTTATTTAATATGTTCATGCCTGCAATCCTTATTTCGAATGGCTGACAGGTCTGGATAAATTTGGGGCCCCTGCTTTATCATTTTGCAGATTCGTATAATCAGGAAGATGTAAGATTTTTGGCCCTAAAATAGATCCCTAAATAGATGATTCCTTATAAGCTGAAAAAATAGCTGATAGTTGGGTTTTTAATGTGTTTCTGTTTGTGCTTTCCTGGAAACTTGCTGTTTAGGAGATGTCGATTGAGCTGAGCTTGGAAGATGTAAAGAATGTTGCCTATCATTATGGATTTGAAATAGAGGTACCCCTGATTTAGTTTCTGAATTTTTGTCTATTTATGTTAGACATTTTTCACAATTTCATATTTTAATTTTTCAACCTTTTCTGCTTCAGAAAGAATCAACAATTGCGACAACTTATACATCGAATCCAAGATCAATGATGCGGTCCGTCCGTGGCGCAAATAGAATAG